AATATTTGCATATTATTATTAAAATGTGTATTTAAGAAAGCTTTTTAATGAATTATATTGCTATATAGCTATAGTAACTCATTTGCGGAATACTCGTAATTATTTTTGCCGCGCCTGAAGGTATGCAATGGGGTTTGCATTGCAATATCCATGTGCTTGATATGGGAATTTTAATTAAAATTAAATAATTCAAAATGTATATCGCATAGCGCATTTGTCGTTTGATGTCGATTTGCCCATTAACCGAAATGGTGCATAATTGAAAAGTTCGCCAACTAGGCGGCCAATTCAATTTAGTAACCAGTGTGGGAGAGGGGGAGGGAGAGCGATACTCGCAAATGGCAATAACAGTATAAGCATTGAGTGCAGCAAATGCATTTTGGCCCTTAATATTGGCATCGAGCGCAGAGTTTTTCCATTTGCCATTTGCCATGCACGGATTTGTGGATATTTTTGGATTTTTCGGCCGCCGTTGTTCAGTTTGCATAATCAACGTGACTTTACCTAGTTTGGCGCCTGGCGGTTGCCTTGACGGCAAATGCGATAAAATTGCAACGATAAATTATTTGATGTTGATTGCATATAATAACCAAATATTTTCAATTAATTGCAGTTCATTATGATATCGCGCGTTTTCAAGCTATAAATTAACTACATTTACGCATTAAATTTCATATTTATTAATTATGTGTGCAGCAATTGATATAAATAATATAAACTCTGTGCGTAAATTATATTTGTAGATTTGAAAAAATTAACGCATAATAGAAGATGATTTTTGGATAATATTCATAAATATATTGCAAAAAAAAAAAGAAAAACAAATTACCTGCTATATTGGAGCAACAACAAATATGTATAATTTCTTTAAACAAAAATATAGAGTCTATTTAGATTATAAAATTAATCAAGCAATTTAAGAGACAGAACCTTGAGAACATTTCGCATTTTATAATTTTACAATATTCAATTAATTAAAATTTACAAAATTCTTTGCTAGTCAACGTGTTAAATAAGATTTGTGTGTTTCTTTTTTTAAGTACGTAACAAAATGACTAGTCAGGATTTGCATCTAAAGCTGATTTCATTGATGTAAGTACATTTGCTCAAGCAAATCTATATAATGTAAAAATTATATGCCCTTGGGAGCCAAACAAAAACTATTTTTGCTAACGCAATAACGTGAATTTCTAAGGTAGCACAGATTACCTTCAATAATAAATTATTATTTATTTACGCAATATTTTTGAGCCTGTGAATACATATGCCAACAAAATTGTTTTCAATTTAGTTGTTTTTTATTTCTTATTATACAAGTGTTGTGTTTTACATTTTTTAAATTTAAGAGTACAGGACAATATCCTTTTCTACATAGACATAATATTTTATGCAATGGAAATTGATTTGTTAGAATTGAACAATTTCAATTTATTTAAAACTTGTTATTGTGTTCAATGCTTAACTCTATGGCGATATTTGCTATTAAACTAAGAATTTGTAGATAATTTAGCCCAAAGCTGAAAACAAGTAGGTTTTCCCCTTTAACAGCAAAAAACAATTAATTTTTTTTAATATACCTTTTAATTATCTAAAAAGTCTGTTCTTAAATTCTTTAGAAAAAAAAGAAGAAGAAAAAAAAAATGGGGTTTTTGGTCTTCCGGTTTTCATCTTCATATTTTATTTAAAAAGTTTATATAGTTGTGTTGCCAAGCCTTGTTGGCCGGTGTAAGCTACGCTTTTATTACGCATTAATATTCATAAATTGACTATTAATCGCACAACTAAAAACTAGATTCGATAGCGAGTTTTACACACATCACGCATAAACTAAA